AAAAAAGTTGGTACTCAACATAATCATATATTAAATCGTAGAAATCGTCAACAACACAGTCAACTTTTATTCGTATGATAACGACACAAATTATTGTTTATATTATATCAGCTGAGTTCAATCCGATGAGTACACTCTACGAACAACTCACAGCGACTTTATTGAATTATTTATTGTATGAAATTGTCTTTTATATCTCAATACATGGCCTCCATTTTTAATATAATATGCTACATCATTACATTTTAGAAATTTTTTCATTTGTTTATTCAAAAAGAATTGTCAAGTTCAGCCACTTAATATTTGAGGATGACTACGTATTTTTTTGTGTACTCAAAATGTGAGTACACTACTAGAATCGATCAGTGTGTCCGTCCGTCCGGCCGTTTACACGAGAACTATCGAAAGGAAAATCAGACTAAGCTGAAATTTTCTACAGAGTTTAGCCTCATTAATATCTCGGTCGAGTTCGAAGATGAGCTTAGTCGGTTGTACTATTGCTGAGTTATAAAAAAAGTCCTCATTATTGATCAGACGATCCCTGAGGGGGGGGGGGGGATACAGGGATTTTTTTTCAAAAAAAAAATATTATTCTCAAAACTATTCACACCTTATATAAATCGACTCAGTTTTTAGCGCTGATTCTGAATCTGATATTTGTTTTGAACCGAATCGTAGCTTTCTAACAAAACATCGCCTGAAAAAGGTCTCAAAATGTTCAGACACTGTATCCAGAAACCAAATTGCCTAGATATGTCTCAGATGACTAGTATTTTTGGGGTTTTTCAAATACCTGGTTTTGTAGCTAGTCAAAAGGCCTGTCGAAAGGTAAAAACCCGAACTCGATAGCTATTAACATTGGTGAACGATTATGAAAATACTCCTGTCTGTATCTATCATATATCTCTTATAGATTCATGAGGTTGCTTATGATCGTAATCCCCCTAGATACAAACACAAATTCAATTAAAAACAACTCCTCTTACCTAGTGTTTTTGGAATAGATAGGATTTGTGAAGGGCTCTGAATAATGATAGGGGGTAAATATGGTGCGTTCGAGGTTTCCTCAACATTAAACTATCCGAAAACTATGAAAAAGTCACATATACTGACACTGCTGTTAGAACTGTTTATTGTTGACTAAGAATAAAAAAACAGGCCAATGTCTATTTCCGCTTTTTGCAGTACACATAACTCTCGGATAACATCCGAGGTTACGCATTTATTCTTGTTACAATCAATTACATTACATATCATGTTTCGATGTATTCTTTTTCTCTCCAGGTATTTGGTTATTTAATAGTTGTTATCTATATAGCAAGAACAACAATTTGTCTCGTACTATAATGAATGTTAAAGATTTGTTCAACAAGAAAAATGCGTTGAATTGGTGCAATATGTCCTCGACAAATTGGTCATTGTTCATAAATTTGACGAGCACATGTAGAGCAACACTATAAATGATTACAAGGTGTAATTAAATGAAACCTTTCATCTGAGAAGCCAATAACACATCGAATTGTTTTTGATTGTTCATGATCGTCCCATGATCTAAACCACATTTATGTGATGGTTCAGAATTAATTTGATTTAAAAAAATAATTTGAGTCCTCCAGTTTGGGCGACCGAAAAAATAAACATTATTGTTTACATTATCTTTTTTGATTGATAGAAAGCTGCTTGAGAATCATAGTCATATCGAACTGATAGGATACGACATGGAGATATATATTGATTTGAATGAATCGTTGTGATAATAGCTCTATATCAATCGAGTTCGATTTTTATTTGAGAAAAATATTCCACTCACAAGCATAACGACTGATAATGTGAGGAGGAACGGACATCATTGAAAAGTGATCGATTATCGGAAGATGTAGGTTCGACTTATACTCTGATTTTATGATCTTTCGTAATAGGTCTTTCTTACCTTTTGAGACCATTTCATGTAGCTGTATTTGCTGGAATTCAGTTTGTAATTTCGTGAACAAGTGTCAGTTTCTTATTTTGAACCTTTTTCATTTAATTTATAATGCTCACCCTCGTCTAGTAATAGTCGAAACATATCGGGTGATTATTTTGATTCTATTTAATCTCTTTTATAAACTCATCATTTATTTGAGATTTAACTATGTTCTATCAGATTAATATTATCCCTTATGTTGGAATATTCTCTTTTTCATATTGTCTATGATTAATCTTATATAGTTATCCTATTTTGTTTTAACATACCTGTCGACTCCCTTTAGCAGGAACAAAACATGTCGTATGACTGCTTTGAAATTATTTTTCTCATCTATAAATTCACCCAACTTCATAATATATAGTTTATTTCGAATAATAAGCAATGAAATAATGAAAGCAATACCATAAGATATATTGTGCACAGACAAAATAGCAAAAATCAAAAAAAATCAAAACTTTACGATTGCGGGTATACAATAGAGTTTTACAAGTCACAACATGCAAAGCATTTTGACAATTTTTCTCGATAAATATTATGTTTGTCGAACAATAAATATTTATAAAGACAAATTTATTAAAGTTTTTTTTTGCTATTTTTTAACGCACGAAAAAAGCAGATTAACAATATATTTTGTTTAAAGATAAAGTATTATTTGTAAATAGTGATGATTGTGTAAGCAGATTCATATAAGAAACATCAACACGTGTTAAATAGAATATCCAAATAAGATCCGGTCCCAACAATGATATCCAAGCAACTGTCACCATTTAAATCACTGACAGCGATTGAATTTCCTCCGTTATAAAATTCTAACGATAAAGATATAATTTCTCCAAAAGTTCCATCTCCAGAGCCAGGAAATACCATCATATTGCCATCACGAAAAATATACGCAACAGCCATGTCTAGGTAACTGTCACCATTGAGATCACCGACAGCGATTGCCACTGGATCATTGTCTCCTGTAGAATAATCATGTCGTGATATAGACGCTCTATTAGCATTACCAAGCACCACACTTATATGTCCTCCGGCAATATTTGCGACAGCGATGTCTAGGTAGTTGTCATTGTTGAAATCAGCAGCAGTAAGTGACAATGGAAAGCCAGGCACACCAAAAGTTATCTCTTGTCCAAAAGTTCCATCACAATTGCCAAAGTACGTCATTATCTCATATGACCAATTACATACAATAGCGATATCGACGCAGCTATCACCATCGAAATCACCAAGGGCAACTGAGAACAAGTCTCTACAACCTCCAACCGCGTATGGTGCTTGAAACGACCCATTACCATAATTAAGCATTACAACTACCTGACCGGACCCTACATTTGCGACAGCAATGTCCGGGTAACTGTCGCCGTTAAGATCATCGACAGCCAATGAAATCGGACCACTTGGATCTCCCATATAAAGAATTATTCGCTCTTGGAAAGATCCATTTCCATAACCAAAAAACAAAAGCACATTTGCCCACCCGGGATCTGCAACAACGATGTCTGGATATTTGTCACCATTTATATCAACGACAATAATGAGTGTTGGTGGAATTCTAGATCCTGTAAGATACATTGTGGGTGTTCCAAACGATCCATTACCATATCCAAGTATTACAGCAACATTGTTGTCAGATCCACATATACCAACGATATCTTGTTTATTGTCGCCGTTGACATCAGCAGTAGTGATTGATGTTGTAGGAAAACCATTACCAGACGGATATGCAACCACCCGTTCAAATGTGAACTGCTCCGTTGACGCTAAGCAGAACAAAAAGTGAAGTTATTTTCAATGCTTTAAGTGAACACATTTACACGATTACTATTGAATTATTCGAGCAGAATGTTTTATAAAGCAATTAAGACGTTTTTTAATACTTCGAAAAAAGTCAGATATGATCAGCGTACTCATGTAAGGATTCTTAGAAAATGATCTTCATTTTTGTCTACTACTTTTTTTAAAACTTACAATGTATGATGTTGATCTCAAACTTCTGCCATCGCCTTCAGATAGCCCTAAGTGAATAGTCTTTGGAGAAAAAGCTTGAGCGGGGTTGACTAGACTAATCCGAAAAAAGTCCGTTTATATATGAATTTTTGAAATAGGTTTTTTTCAGATCAGCTCAGTCAGATTTGCTCAAACTTTTTTTCCGACGATCGTTCACTAAAGGCTATCTGAGGATAGTAGCAGAATTTTGGGATCTTCAATCAAACAGGATCAGACTTGACTTTTGTTCAGTGGGTCGTTTCAACTGCTCTTGAGGAGAGATCGTTTTGTGTGTTTCAATATCTTAAGCGAGACATATCCTATACGGCTAAAAATTTGATTTGATACCATCTTGAGGGTGGGTGTGAGTGTGGCTGCAGGTTCGGATGTGTATGCGGCTGTAAGTGTTTTATTCTGTATCAGTCACACTCACACCCACTCCACACTCACCCTCAAGAAAATATTATGCAGAAAATTGATGGTAAGCAGCGCATGTACGTACCAAATGCAGTAGAAATAGGCATTGTTGTGCTTGCCATATTAATTGATATGTTCGTTGAGGAAACTAGAAAAGAAATATTATTTTATACTATCAATATATCTCGTTATGGAAAATTCTCTACAAATGAATATACTAAAACTATCAAATGGTTAAAATCGATAATGTTAAAAGCATAGCCTTTAAACAAAAACAACTAAATTAAGACATAATTGCAAGAAATACAGGGTGTAACATAGCTATTACACTCCACCTAGAACCTACAGTTGTAAATGATATTTCAAAATATAATATATCAGATTAAATTGATTTAAAGTGGTTTTTAATGTGCATTGTGTCAGAGTAGAGCATTATCTACTCTGAACAGTTCGCACTCGCTATTGTTATGATCTAATATGGCAGAGCGCCTGTGAGAACTTGATAACGTGCTTATTCGTGATGAAAGAAGAGTTACTACTAATGAACAAGAGCAAAGATAAAAAAAACAAAGAGAAGAAGGGATGAGTACATATGCGCACGTACTAGTAAGAGAAGTATAGAAAGAAGACAGATCAGAATTGTCGTATAGCAACAATCATACTCAAGTTCTATTATTTCATTTGTATTTTGTAGGTCTGTCATTCGCTCAACTAACTTTTTTGATTGCGTCAAAATTTAAAATAAACATCAACTGAACTAAACTAAACCAAGTCTATAATACATTAACTCATCAAATCAAAATGGATAATCTCCTTAATGATTCATAAGAGCAACGATTTGTGAATAAAATTCGATATATCACTTATCGCGAGATACGCGATGAAATGATTGCAAAAATAAGAGATTCATTCACTAATCGACAATAAATGTCCCAAAAGCTTCGGCATAGTGAAGATTGAATATGGTGACCCTGAAACAAAATATCCAGAGAACGTCGCACGATATTTAGAAGTGGTCGGCCTGAGGTGCTCTTCCAAGAGAGCAAAATCATTATCGATTCTTCGAGTGATATCAAGAGTATTGGCTTTCGAAAGATTGTAAAGAGATTTTGAAGAGGATATAGATGTTTTTATTGGTTTAGTGTGCTCAATAAGAAAAACATTTGATGGTCTTGAAGCTGCTAAAGGAGCTCATACAAACTTCTGACATTTTTTAATAAACGTAATATTAGGGATTGTTTGCGATGCAGAAATAAATAGTATGTATATACTTTTCAAATCTTTATTTAGAATAAACCGAGGTGAACGAGAAATATGAGATGGGGTGGGCGGCTTGTATCTTGCTCAAACGAATCTAACTGTATACGAGAAAGCACACGTATATATATTTGGTGAATCAATAGATAGATCATCGAGGTGATAACAAAAGAAAATAATGACGAAGTACCAATATGATATCACATATATCCAAGGGAAAAAAGAGAAAAGCAACAACAAAGGAATGAGAGATAATTGAGGGCCCACAATACGTATATTTTTAAGAAGTTTATATTTCTGATAAATTGGCAAATCTATGATCTATATTTCAAATTAGAGAAAGGACATAATAGGCCTATGACAGATTAGATATTGTAAAATCTTTGTCTTTTTTACGTCCAAACGAACTCGTATAGTGCAGTCCCTGCTTTTTTTAATTACATTTTTAGATTCAGCTTTTGATGGGCTTTAATTTGTTGTATTTTACTTTGAAGTACCATTTACAACTGTGGGTTGTCCGTGAGAGCCTAATGATTATGTACACCTCGTATCTGAATACATGTTATTACATGTCGACACGTGAGTTACACCAACATTTTTTCACTGGATGAGATGTCATTCATTTCTTAAATAAAATTTGTATCCGTACTCACATACTCCTCTATCAGACTATTTATCTGAATATATTCATCTTATATATAGCAGTTAACTATCAATCTACAGAAAGAGTGTCGAAAAATCTCGATATTTTATTGATAAAACATTACAAATGTGAAGAAAAAATTTAAAACTAGAAAATAAAGATCCGTGATGAAAGACAGGTAGATATACTATTGAAAAAAGTGTTTTGAAAAGTTTTTTCCTAAAGAATAATATAAAGAAAACAAATATCTCATATCAAGAGAGAAACTTAAAGAATTTTCAAATTTCTGAAGAGAAGAAATCGCAATTAAATGTGATAATTATTCGTATTTCTCCGATAGAAATGAGTCAACGCCAATGAATCAAAAGCTTAATTTGTACTGATGAATAGTTGATGGTAGCATTTCCACTTCCGAAAAATAAAAAGACTGCCGTGATAATTATCATAATCAAAAGTCATATCGATTGACATTCTTACACTAAGCTTCAATCAGAAAATATCATCATACGCTTAAGAAATCTCAGTTTGAGATTTATCAAAATTGACTGGGCATGCTCAATGTACAAATTAAAGTTTAACTATGCTATTTATCAATGCTTTTCTTTAGATATATTCAATGGTAACAATGATTGAGTAAGACTAAAACCATTACATTTTAATGATATAATCTGTACTTCAGCTAGTTTAAACAGATCTCTCTAACTCTTCTCTATTTAATAATACGCTAAAAGATTTCATTTTTTTTATTATATGCTATTGAAATCATTTTACAATTCCGTACTTCGAATGACTCTCCGTTAGAGATGTTTCCAAACAATTTTCAATAAAAGCATTTTTCTGCTTTTTCACACTGAGTACAATTGACATAGCCAAATTTGGAAACTGAATTCCAGATTCAAAGCAGTGTCTGTTGCATTTCAAGTGAGAATGCATCAACTTTCCTCTTTTCACACTAAATATCGCTCATTTGTGGTACCTAGAGCCATCAGTTCTGACTAATTCTTAGATCAAAACTGACTCGACTTTGATCGTTTTAGTTGATACAACTGTCGTATCTGATGGAATATGACAAGAACGTTTAAGAATCGATCGGAGTTAGCTGACACATGAAGATTTATCGTCAATTTCGGTTAATTCCTGTAGTTTTTAATCGCATTTCTTAAAATATGGTAATTGTACTAGTATAGAGTGTTAAAACTGGGACAGCCTTAATCAAAGAATCAGTCAGGGCTGACAGTTCTAAGTACGGTAAATGATCGATCTTTTGTGTGAAAAATCAAGAATTGATGCATCTCTAATGTTGCTCTGTTAGAACGACAAATTCTGCAATCGAAAGCAGATGAAACTGTTTCATTTTATAAATAAAGTGACTAACTGAACTATCGAAAATGTCGTTGTAGAACAAAGAGCACTGTACCTGTTAATTTATCTTGATCATTTCTTTCTTGAATGAGATACATAGAGAAGATAATAATGGCCATTATCAAAATTGCAAACAATATCAAATAATTGACGATCTTACGAAAGCATTGCATTTTCTCCCGTAAATTTGCCCTTAGAATTATAACTATAGATTATAGTGTGAATTATAATAAAATGATCTTACTGATATGTCAGGACTGTAGGTATTGATTCTAAATCAGTTATGCGGTTGCGATGACTTGTGAAATCAGATGTTGTTATATTAGTTTGAACAGTTGACATTTCAATAGTGCTTTCAGGAACGACAATATTTGTCTTCTTTTTCCAACAGTAAAATAGTTTGAACACAAGTTGAACTATTAATGGACAAATCCATTTGAAAACGATTGTCAGACCACCGTAAAGACTCAGTAGAAGAGTTATCATGTAGATTAAGTTAATCCTTTCGACATAAGTATAGGAACACATATATGGCGAACATTGTTCAAAGTATGATGAGTAATTTATTGTTGTTAACCAATCCTGAACAAATAAGTTATTGATGAGATCGATCATGGTAGTATTGACTGAGAATTGATTCATAGATATAGAAAGAGGAATAGAATTATTTATAGAATTCTTGTTATTTGGATAGTTCATCTGTTCATAAATGAGATCAATACACGTAGGATCATAGAAGCATTCAAGAGTAGAAGCAAGAAATGATTCACTTGGTGTACAACCCATTTTCAAACCTTTGATTGGAACAGTATCGGATGAATTCATTTTGATGAAATGAGCTTGTATTGTACAGCTTGAGTTTAATGCACATGAGCAGTTACCGTTATAGATCTTTGCTTGAGTACGCGAAAGAGTAAATAAGCCCGCGTCATATCGATTAAGAATATAATCGTAGTTGGTTCCATAGGCTGACATGAATGCATTTCTATGATTCGTACTTCGAAGTAAAGAGAAAACTCGTGAGAATAATTTAGGGGCATCTAATTTATTCTGTTCAATGAGCAGATCAATGCGTGTATGAAAAGTTGTTTGTGGTAGGAGTTGAGCACTGACCCATAGTGAAGAAAGAAATTGATTGACAGAAGTATTGATCAATTGCATAGAAGTTTGACATAATTCAGTGAGGAAATGGAAATGAGCTGAGAAAAAACGATGATAATCTGTCAGAGCATAGGGATATAAGTCTGATGGAATATTAGCTGTAACATTTCTTCGCCATTCATCCGAGGCAAATGGACTCGAACAAATCTATAATTAATCAAAAGAAAAAATGGAAGTTATTTTCATTTCTTATCATTGTATACAAATCTGCCAACAAAGCTGTAATCAATGACATACTTTTCTCTTTTAGTAAGGGATCATCCTGTTTATTGTAACTGACAGAAAAAAAATCGTCGGTGTTGTTTGAAAGAAAAAATATAAATTGATAAAATTCATCGAAGGGTATCATCTTTGAAAAATATATCCAGAGTGAATGAACAAATAAAGATTGTCTGTCAAGAGAATATTCACTACCTATTTGATCTTTGGTGGACTGAAAACAATAAA